CATGCTGACCAGGATGTTCTCAATCTCTTGACCTCGTGATCCACCCGCCTCGACCTCCCGAAGTGCTGGGATTACAGGCTTGAGCCACCACACCCGGCCTAATTTTTGTATATGTTGTAAAGAAGGGGTCCAGTTCCAGTTTTCTGTGTATGGCTAGCCAATTCTCCCAGCATCATTTGTTAAACAGGGCCTCTTCCCTGTTGCTTCTTTTTGTCAGATTTGTTGAAGATCAGATGGTTGTTGGTGTGCAGTCTTATTTCTGAGATCTGTGTTCTGTTCCATTGATCTGTGTGTCTCTTCTCATACCAGTATCATGCATGTTCTTTAATTTTGAAATAATTTGACAGTTTTTCAGATATCTTCCAATTAATTAATTTCTGATTTGATTCTGTTTTCATGGAAAAACACATTCTGTATGGTTTCTACTGATTAAAAATAGTTGAGGTTTGTTTTGTAGCTCAAAATGTGGTATATACTGGTGAATGTTCCACATACACTTATATGAAAAGTATGTTCTGCTGTTCATTGCAACATTTCTATAAATGTCTTTTAGGCCTTGGTAGTGTTTTACAAGTCTTTTATGTTCTTGCTGATTTCCTGTTTACGTGTTCTGTCAATTACTGATAGTGGATTATTGAAGTCTTCAACTACGATTATGGATTTATTTATATTTTTCAGTTTCCGCTCTTTATTGTGAAGCTCTGTTTAATTTCATACACACTGAAAATTGTTATATTCATAAGGATAACCTATATCATTAGGTAATGCTCCTGTTTATCCTCCCTTATATTCAAAGTCCACTTTGTCTGATATTAGTATAGTTTCTGCAGCTGTATTTTAATTATTGATTTATGGTATATCTTTCTCTAGACTTTTATTTTCAACCTATTTATGTCTTTATATTCATATTTAAAATGCATTTTTATATACAGTTTATACATGGGACTTGCTTTTTGTTCAATCCTAGTCATTTCCGTCTTTTAATTTATGTATTAGACCATCCCTTTTAATGTTATTATTTGACTAGTTGGAATAAAATGTACCATATTGGCAGCTGTTTTCTGTTTGTTTCATTTTGGGTTTCAGTTTTCTTTTTATGCCTTCTCTAGTATTAAGTGTTTTTTATGATTCTGTTGTATGTCCTCTATTGACTTATTAATACCTTTAAACATTTTTAATTGTCTACCTTCAAATAATATTCCATTGTTTTGCATGGAACCTAAGGACTTTACTGCAGTTTATCCACAGCTCCTCCTTTCCATCCTTTATGCTGCTGTGGTCATACCTTTTTACATTTACATTTACTATGAACGCACAGTACATTGTTACTGTTTTTGTTTTAGACATTCAGGTATCTTTAAGAGCAATTTAAAAATAAGAAAAAAACCTGTATCCTCATTTAGTCTGTTTTCACTGCTCTTCGTTTCTTTGTGTAGATCCAGGCTTCCCATCTGATGTTACGGTCCTTCTGCCAGAGGAACTTCCTTAACATTTATTGTCCACTAGGTCAAGCAGCTGGCCATGAATCCCCTCAGTTTTTGTTTTTCTAAGTCTGTATTTCTCTTTCATCTTTGAAAATTGTTTTCAATGGGCATAGAATTCTGGATTTGACAGTTTCTCTTGATGTTGTTGCTGTATTTTTTATTTGCACCGTTTTCATTTTATTGTTTTTAATTGTTTTAATCTCTCAGCTCAAAGTCCCATCTGTTATTGTCTACGGTTCCCTTTAGAGCCTTCAGCATATTAATCGTAGCTATTTTTAATTCTCGGTCATTTCTAACATTGGTGTCGTATCTGACTGTGGTTCTGATGATTGATTTGTCTCTTTGGAGTATATTCTTTTTTTGCCTTCTTGTATGCCTTGTAGTTTTGGGTTGAAAGCTGTACATCTTGTGTAAGACAGTAGAGACCCATGGAAGTGGTTTGTATGCGTAGAAATGGGCATGCCTCTCCTTCCTACAGGCCTTTAGTATGGGAGTTCCAGTTTATCTGCTTAGGAATGGGCTGGGTATGAGAGATTTATTGTCACAACAGCTATCCTCACTGCAGCAGAGGCTTCACGTTCCTGTAGAGATACCTTGTGTTTTGGGTGGGGGTTGGATCACAAGAATGTCATCCGTTCAGTTCTAGTTTTAGGTCTTCCTTTTGCACTGCGCCTCAGAAAGGGGGTCTCTGCACATTCTTGTTCTCCTGTTTCTTTTCTAGCACTATTTTGTTGCCTGTAATTCTAAACTCCTTAGCTTGGCATTGTGGAGTGAGGAGGAGGATGGGGTGCTGTCTCTGTTCCACTTGAGTTTCAGTCTCATACCTGCACCCTTGTCTTAGGTTTCCGGGCTGTGGCCTTTTCAGTTCTGCTTCCCCTCCCCCAAGTGTTGCAGGGGTTTCTGTGTAATCCTGTGCCTCCCCAAGGAGTCAAGGTGTGTGTGTATGTGTGTGTGTGTGTGTGTGTGTGTTTGTTTTTCCTGTTCCCATTCCCATAGTGAAACATGCAGTGTTTTCATTAGTGTCCTAAGGACAGCCGTGCATGTTGCCTTTCTCACAGGCTAGGTCTTCTGTTTTCCTGGTGGAGAGAGGGGAGATGGATCCTGGTGGAGTTCTTTGCCACTACTGTATGGTTACTGCTTCTCTCCCCCATATCCGGACCACACTTCTTACCACTCCTTCCTGTAAGCACTTGGGTGGTGATCATGACATAGATCCTGTGAGAAAATGTAACCCCCAGAGGTTTCACACAATCTTGGCAACTCACTCTTGACTTTAAGCAGATACTTGAGCAGGACTCTTCTGACCAGTATTCTGTTGTGTCTGCCCTTGATGACACAAACTTGTGTCTCCTTACATATTGGGCTGTTGATTATCTGGGACCTCAGCTTATTGATGGTTTGGGAAAAGCCTTAAATTTAGTTAGGCTGTGTGTGTGTGTGTGTGTGTGTGTGTGTGTGTGTGTGTGTGTGCGCCCGCACGCACGCGCATTTGTGTGTTTAACATAAACAAGTCCCATCCTCATTAGACTTTATAGCAATATCAACCTTGAATGAAATCATCGTTTCTCTCCTGTAACTTGTTCTTCTAGTCATCCAGTTCTCTAGTCTTTTTTTAAATTTTTCTTTCAAAGAAGATGCATCTCTAAAAAAAATACCTAATTTGCTACTGATGTGGCAAATCCAAGTCTAATTGAGGATGACTCGAATTTTAGAATGCCAAACATCAGGCAAGGTAGAGAAGCAGCGGAGACGCAGGAGTCGGCATTTACCCAGAAATCACACATTCTGTCTTTGCATAGGCTCCTAGAGCCATTCAATACATTGTTATTATTTTATTTCATTTCTTATTTTACAGCATAATAGTAGAACCGTAAAAGCAACTTGTGAAATCACATGCTAAAAGAACCTAAATGCATGTTTCATCTTTGAGTTTTTTAATTATAAAAGTAGCACATATTTGTGATAAATTATGTAAAATGTCAAGTTCTTTCATCCTCTAGGAATAATCACCCTCAGATCTTTTGTATGGGTCCTCTGAGACTTTTCCCTAAGAACTTATTTTTGTCATATACAAGGAAAAAGTAGTCAAAAATTAATATCTAGGCCATTTGGGAAAGGAAGCCTATTGCTTGTTGCTCTGTTTATATTTTTTTCTCTCTTCAAAAAATACCTGTAAGTGCAGAATGTTATCACAGCTAAACTGTACATTGTCTTATGTCATCTTTATCATGTCTCAGTGACATTCCTCCCCATAACTAAAGTTTATTAAGCTTTCTGTGGAAAAGAACCTCTAATTTGCAAGGTTTTTGAAAATGTGAAGAGTGTAAAAGTTCCACATGAGCTTATGCGAATTCCTGTATGTATCATCTTGAAGATTCCTTGTTAAACTCAGTCTCACATAGTATTATGAGGCTGATATTCACGACTTTTAGATAATATCCCCCTTTCTGTGAGAAATGGGTGGAATCATATCACAGAAAAAAAATGGCAGGAAATTTTAGCATCTCTCTTAGTAAATTAGAAGGCTTACACATTAGGCAAATATGACGACGTGAAGGACAGTTGAAACAGGCCTGTGTCAACCAAAGGACGAAGCCAATGCACAAAGTCTGATTGAAATAGTTGACTTGAGCCAGAGTAAGGACAGATGACTCAGCCAAACTGCTTGTTACAGGCAGGTTTTTAAAGGCAAAGCAAAACAAAATAAAAACGGGGTAGGAGGGCAGGCGGAGGGGGTTTGGTGTTACCAAGTAGACCATTAGAAAGTTCTGTTGGGGATTCCCATTGATATACAGAAGTAACAGCGATTAGTGACTGCCTACCCGTGGTTAAGTGATAAGAGTGTGGGAATGCCTGTGCTGTGTTACTAGGCGAATTCACAGCTACGTGTGGCAATGGGAAGCAGTTTCAGTGAAGTGGGGAGTAGGATGTGATTGCTGTCTCATCTTAAGGCCTCTCTGGGGCCTAGTAAGTTGAAAGGGCCCGCATTCCTCAGATAAAAGTTCTCTTCTTTCCTCATCTATAATACTATTCAAATCTGAAGAAAATTTATTTTGCTCACAAATACCACAGCCATCAGTGTTTTGTGTTTAATTTGTTCAATAAAAAGAAGATACAAAATAGAGAAAAAGCTCAGGAAAAGAGTTGCGTTTAACTCTATTAATTTTCTATACAGTTCACTTGCGTTTTAAAGATTTTCAAGTGCAATCTTAGAGGCCTTCATGTCCTTGTCTCTTGATTACCTTCCGCCTGCCTCATTCCCCTTCTGAGTCATGTTGTATTCCTCATTCCTGACCTGGCCCTTCCCACAGAGCCGCCCTCCTCTGAATCCTGATGGCCGATTGCCTTACTCTTCCCCAGGGCCTTCTTCTCAGCCAGGGCAGAGGCTTGTTGTGGGCAGGGTCCTTGTCTTTTATAATCCTCACAAAGCTGCCAAGCCAATAAAAAATTTTTAAAAACAGCATTTGTGCACTTGCAAAGCATTCTATTACATACCCTCTTGGTTGTTCTTATTAGATGAAAAACAGAGATTCAGTTATGAGCGGTCTGGATATGATCTTGAAGAATCTGATGGCCCAGACGAGGATGATAATGAAAACGAAGATGATGATGAGGACAGCCAAGCTGAATCAGTCCTGTCAGCTGCGCCCTCGGTTACAGCCAGCCCACAGCACCTCCCATCTAGAAGTAGCCTTCAGGACTCTGTGAGTGCTGATGAGGACAGCAGGATCACCGATTGCTTTTCTGGGGTACATACAGACCCAATGGACGTTCTGCCCAGGGCGTTGCTCACCAAAATGACCGTTCTGAGCACGACACAGTCTGACTACAGTAGGAAGACACTCTCTCCAGGGAAGGCCAGGCAGCGCGCCGCAAGAGATGAAAATGACACGATTCCGTCTGTAGACGCTTCCAGGTCTCCTGAAGCTGCACCCAGGTCCCCGTGTCATCAGATGTCTGTGGACTACCCTGAATCTGAAGAAATCCTGAGAAGTTCTGTAGCAGGAAAAGCTATTGCTGTAACACAGGTAAATGATTGGCAGTTTTCTTTTTAACCTATTAAATATGGGAGCTTAATGGCTTAAGGAAATAATGCACCTAAGTGATTTATTTAGGCCAGATTAGTTTGCGTGGCTTTATTTTTTTTTTCTTGTATTTAAGGGCAGAGGACATTTTCACCCTTTGGAGTCTAGTTGAGTATGCTAAATAGTTAAGGTATTTTATTGTGAATCTGTGAAAGAACCAAAAGGTTCTTAGAAAAATATACCCACTTATTTTTATTGGCTTTTTAAAAAATTTCTGAAATTAAAAAAAAAAAAAAAAATGTGACAATGGCCAACACAAGTCCCGCAACTGATGTATCCGCTGGCTCCTTCTGAGCTGTTTTTCCGCTGGTGCTGATATGGTGATAGCTTTTCAGTGAATTATCCAAACATGTTGGACTTTGCCCCCATGGCAAGACAGCTACCAGTTTCTATGGCAAAGTTAATGTGACCTGAAAACACATCAAGAAGTTCACTTTGCTTGAATGATCACATTGCTACAGCAGCGTGGGAGGGCTTTCTGCCCAAGAACTAGCTCAGGGCAGACACAGGCCTCCAGAAAGTCACACTCCTTGTGCTCCTGCTCTACCTCTGGCTGTTTCGTGACAAATGATTAATTCTGGGAGGAATACATTCTTCTCTCCTTGATAGTTCTCTTACCTCTAGTATGTATTGAATATTGCAGTAGGATTTATTTCTAATTGTGGCAGATTTTAGTTTGCTAGGGAAGACTGGAGAAAAAATAAAAGACTATATAAAAGCTTGGATTTCTATAGGCTATCTAGTCCAAATTCATATAGTTTAGTTATATTACACTGATGTTTAAATTACCTTAATACATTAGATTAATATGTAAATTAATGTAGCTCTTTAATATAGATAGATATTATCAAGAAAAAGCTAATATTTAGATAATCTTGTTGGAAGGGAGGATGGGCTGGATTTATTTCATCCGGTTACAGTTCATTTCTTTAATACTGGCTACCTGTGCTGGAAGTGTCTCTATACCAAACCCTTTCAGACACTTGCTAGTGCCTGGAAATCTGGTTTTCAGCAGACATTTCATAAACTTGCGAATGAACAAACATCCGGAGACCTTTTTCTTAAAAACACCTCTTCACAGATACTTCTTGGGTTCGTTTTTTTCCCATTGACTTGACACAGCCAACTAAGATCTCTCAATTTCTAAATAACTCTTAATCTCTAAAATAAGGTGGAGCTGGTAGTGCCAGAAACAGAAAGACTAGCAAAAATAACAGCACAACAATATAGCTGTGTCCACTTCTCAGGGTTATTGTCTGTGTACAACGTGACAAAATCCAGGAAGTTTGCTTGAGACACACAAAAGACCATACAAGATGTATTGCCATTATTTCTACTAGAAAAGAAAAAAAAATAAAAATGTAATAGATTTTTTAGTTGGAAGTTTATTTCTAAAAATCAAAAAATAATTTCATTGCAGCAACCATGATTTTTATCGATGCAAATATACATACTTCTATCTCCTTATGAAGAAGTAGATTTAGTACTAGCATCATAGCTCAGTGATTAGGAAAGACCTGTCATAAAAGAATTGTTCTCTCGTCATTTAGAGCCCATCATCTGTAAGACTTCCTCCTGCTGCCACCGAGCACAGCGCCCAGACAGCAGCGGTGATGCCTTCTGTGGCCTCGCCACATCCTGACCCTCAAGAACAGAAGCAGCAAATAACTCTACAGCCGACTCCAGGCTTGCCTTCTCCCCACACTCATTTGTTTAGCCACCTTCCTTTGCATTCCCAGCAGCAATCAAGGACACCTTATAATATGGTTCCAGTTGGGGGGATCCATGTGGTACCCACTGGCCTCACCTACTCCACGTTTGTGCCCCTTCAGGCTGGACCAGTGCAGCTCACGATCCCTGCTGTCAGTGTCGTCCACAGAACTTTGGGTACTCCCAGGGATACGGTCACAGAAGTGTCTGGCACTACAAACCCCGCTGGAGTGGCTGAATTAAGCAGTGTTGTGCCATGTATTCCTATTGGCCAAATCCGCGTGCCAGGCCTTCAGAACCTGAGTACCCCAGGCTTGCAGTCACTCCCCTCGTTAAGCATGGAAACCGTCAATATTGTAGGCCTAGCTAACACCAATATGCCCCCTCAAGTCCATCCACCGGGACTGGCTCTGAATGCCGTCGGACTGCAGGTTCTGACGGCAAACCCTTCCCCGCAAAGCAGCCCCGCTCCTCAGGCACACATTCCAGGTCTCCAGATCTTGAACATAGCATTGCCCACCTTAATCCCCTCGGTCAGTCAAGTAACCGTTGATGCACAGGGAGCTCCTGAAATGCCAGCTTCTCAAAGCAAAGCGTGCGAGACACAACCCAAGCAGACTTCCGTAGCCGGTGCAAACCAGGTCGGCGGGACCGAGTCTCCTCAGGGGTCACCTCAAGTCCAGCGGGAAAATGCAAAAAAAGTTCTGAATCCACCTGCCCCCGCAGGTGACCAGGCAAGGCTTGATGGCCCGAGTCAAATGGACACAGAGAAGGCTGCCTCGGCAAATCACGTGAAGCCCAAGCCTGAACTCACTTCCGTACAGGGCCAGCCAGCATCCACATCACAACCTCTGCTGAAGGCACATGCTGAAGTTTTTACAAAGACCTCAGGCCAGCAGACTCTCTCTCCGGACAGACAGGTGCCCAGGCCCACAGCACTGCCCCGGAGGCAGCCCACTGTGCATTTCAGCGATGTGAGCAGTGACGATGACGAGGACAGGCTTGTGATAGCAACCTAATGGGTTTTATTTTTTATTGCTTTTTTTTAAGTAACACTTAAAGGTTTCTTTGAAAACCCTCCTTTCCTTAAAGCACATTTTTCTGGCATAAACTCATGACTAATCTTTGTGCAGTCATGAACTTTTGACCAATAATTGTTGTTTTGTGTCAGCTCCAGCCATTTTTGTACATGTTGTATAGACAATCGTGCCTTTTAGGAGCTTTATGTTTAGAAACTGTACAGATTGTTGAATATCTATATACATAAAAATATATATGTACATGAAAACCAGGTAGTTATTTGTGTTTAGTAAGGAAAACCTGTCAAATAAATCAAATGATTAAATTATATGTTCTACTGTTGAATATAAATTTTATGGCTATGGGGCAGAGTTTCTGTGTATAAATTAGTACGTAAACTCCATATTTATTGTATTCATATTAGTCTTTGAAAATGAGTCTGTCCTCCTTGTGTAAGACAGTAACTTTACACTTCAGATTTTCTGTGTTATGAAATGTTCCAGTAAAATATTGTTTACTGCCTTTACCATTGCTTAGTTGTGCCTTCTTTACATCATCCAGTGATCAGTGATCTGCATTTGGAAAATCGCCCTGGGTTCCATTCTTTCCACATTCTCCTCAACCCTTAGGTTGTTTTTTTAATAAACAGAGACTTTAGTAGCCTTTCTACCATGTGAAACTGGAACTAAAATCCATACAACGGAGAGACCTATTTTTCTTATTTGTGAGAAGTCATTTTATAGTTATTATTAGAAGACTAAAGAGGTAAGAATACTTTCCGTAAGTACATAAAGCACATAGCCTAAAATGGGCAACCTTCCTAGAAGAGGGTGTGGAAATTTCTGGGGAACATTTTGCTAGTATTTGAAATATGCAGCTATATAGGAAATACTACCAAAGACTAAGCCATTACATTTTGAAACTACATGCACGAAATAGACAAGGGAATCGTTTTGTGCTATTTCTCTAAAGTCATCTTTTCCCAAGGAGCAGCGTGCACTTGATATTCCCAAATAGAAACGACTTGCAAATAATGTAATTCGGAGAACTAGTGGGACTACATTTTACTTTTATTGTGTTGCACTGTCATGCGTGGAGACCCAGGCCTGTAGAGAACTGGGATGCAATGACACAGTAAATCGCTTTGATAGTTTATTGACAAAGCAGGTGAAAGTTATAACGTGTAACAGTTTCAATACCTTGTATGAATACAGTGTGATGCCATCATCAGAAGTATTGGAAAAAACAGCTGAAGAACCAAAGGTCGTTTTTGTAGTTATCAAAGATTATTATATCTGGCTGATGAAAATTTATTATAACAGATCAAGGGCATTCAAATAACTAACTTTTAGTCCCTAAAGTTTAAGTCAAAATAATTAACCGATGGTATTTAATGTAACAAATTTTGTTTCTCGGTTTTTTTTCATAATATAGACTCGATTTTCCTTTCACAGAAAAAATATACATAACATACTTCTTACAAGTTAATCCCTGAGCTGAATTTTAAATGATAGCACTTTATAAGGATTGTGGAATATCGTCATTATTTTTGTTGGAAGACTTGTGGTTAATAGATCTTGATGCGTGCTCTGTTCGAATGATAACATCGGGGCTCTTTTTGACTTTTCTGTTTTCACCTTATATTTTGCAGTCAACTTCAAGTAATACCAGAAAGGTGATTTTTATTAATTTTGTTTCAAAACCATCTATAAATTCTAAACACAGGATGTATATCACCTTAAGACTCTTCTCTCAAAGTGACTTCCCATGGCTTAAAATGTTAAATTTCCTATTTAATATTCAAAGGAGGTTATTTTATATATATATATATAAAATAACAGCTTAGTATGGTTCAATTTAATGATTTTTCAACTTTACAATGGTGTGAAGGTGATAAGCATTCAGTAGAAACCATACTCTGATTTTTGATACCTTTCTGTGCTAGCAATGGGTGGTTTGATCTCTTAGGATGCTGGACAGCGGCAGGGAGCTGAAGCTCCCAACCAGCCACATGATCGTAGCCACAAACACTCTACAGTGCACTGTATTCAGTACATTACACGAGATAGTCTAGACTTTATTTTTAAATAAATAATTGTTAGATGATATCGTACAAGTGTAGGCTAATGTAAGTGAGCACATTTAAAGTGGGGTAGGCTAAGTTATGATGTTCAGTAAGTTAGATATATTAAATGCTTTTTTTCATTGTTGAGACAGAACCTTGCTCTTTTCCCTAGGCTGGAGTACATGGCGTGATCTCGGCTCAGTCTGCTCTTAAGTGTTCACTGTATCCTGAATCAGGCTTGGGTTTGAAGAAAACTCTCAGATATCCAAGATCCAGTAATAATTTAAGTACCAACCAACTCCAAAAGAAATTAGAAGGTACACTTTGTACCCCAGAGGAGGATCCCTGCTTAAGACAGACTATATAAACTAGGACGTGATAATAGAACACGTCATAGAAACCACAGACTTCAAAATGTATGAGAGTTAATAAAATTACTGTCTTAATAAATTAAATAATGATTTGTGTATATTGGGGATTGCTGTATTTTGAAGGAGGTATAAGATTTGGGACTTCAGAACAGACATGATGCCGAGGAGTAGAACAAAAATAGCAGAGCCATGAAGTCTAAGCCATGAACGTGTGCCAGGACCAGTCTAAATGGAAGAGAAGATTCACTCAGGCATTCAATAATATTGATTGTGTACCAACAGTGTAGAATGCAAATTTGATGCAAATTAAATGATGCCTGTCATTCAGGAGCTTAATTTCTAGAAGACGAGTAAGTGAGCAAGATGCAAGCTATCTTGAATGGCAAAAAGAGGTACCAGCCAGTGCAGGAGGAGTGCAAATAATGATGAATTCCTGGCTGAGTTGATGAGGGAGTGCTTCAAAGAGAATGAAATGTTTAAATATGGCCTTGAAGGGACGTGGTTAAGCAGAGACAGTAGATGAGACAGAACAGACAGAAGAACAGTGGAAGAGAATCCATATTTATCCCTACTGTGTGCTGTCTATAATCTTATGTAATCATTCCAAGCAGGAAGGATTATCTCCTCGTTTTATAGGTGGAAAGGCTTTAACTCATAGCTGTGATGAAGCCTTGCTTTGCAGATGCGTGGATTTGAAACCAGGATGGTGTGATGCAGCAGCCTGACACATAAGCAAACCGTAGGGAACATAAAAGGGCTTGAGACCAAGGAAGCAGACAACATTCTGGGATTTAGCAAGGCATCTGACAAAGCCACAATGATATGGATTTGATTTAAGGATGGGATATTAATGATTTAAAGATGATATTAAAGATTTGATTTTTATGGATTTGATTTATAGTGGGCTCATCAAGTGGAAAGAGCACTCAGTGGGTCAGAGCACTGTGGTGAAAGGAGCATGGGCTGTGGATTCCAAAAGCTATCATCATTCCTTATCTAATGTGCTAATAACTTATGGGAGGATGAGGCAGTCCCAGAGGACAGAAAAGTAAGGAGGAAAGGAAAGTAATGCAGAGGGGGGTGGAAACAATCACGTTACTCAGTGCTAAGCTGGCCATAGTATCCTTTCTTTTTAGTGGGCCAACTCAATAAAATATAGGAGACATTTGTTGATGACACAAACAGGTCAGGATCAGTGTCCAAGAAGATTCAACGAAGAGGAGAGATGGGCTGAATATGGATAAGACAATTTAACAGGAAAGCAAAAGCCTTGGCACTTGGATTGAAAATTTAAGTATATTAAAAAACAGCACTTTGCTTCCTACAAAGTTCAATATGTGCTACTTTCATCCCTCCCTCCCCCAAGAAAAAGCACGATCTCAGGGATAGTAGAAATGTGTTATTTATTTATCATTTTATCTTAGTAGAGCTAGGATTTTGCTGTGTTGCCCAGGCTGGTCTTGAACTCCTGATCGCAAGCAATCCTACTGCCTCAGCCTCCCAAAGTGCTGGGATTACAGGCATGAGCCACCACGCCCAGCCAAAAATCCATTATTTCGGCATTACGTAATACCATACTCTATGCCCTCATGATCAGAGCATTCTGGGAGCGTCCTCCATTATCAGACTCCAGGCTTGAACAAGATACAGACAAAAGAGCACATTTTGAGGCTATTGGGCTCTGAGGCCAAGTTCACAGTGGTCCTTGTGAGAGAGGCTGGAAATAGGATTATCTGGAGGGTTCCTCATGATAGCTAAGGATGCACCTAGGGAGAGTCACAGAGCAGAAATATAAAAAATAAGTTGTCTTTTTGGTGGAAGGAGAGAATTCAGGGATTAGCAAAGAAGAGAAAGTGGGCTATTGTGAGGGAAGTGCTGTGTCCCCATTAATTTTTGTGTAAAACTAAGATTAACCTCACAGCAAGAAGCTAGTGGGAATGCATGGCTCACAGCTAAAGCTCATATTTGCATATTAGTCAGATGTAAATATGGAGGAACATAGTGATTTCTCTTCAAGGAAGACTGCGAGGAACATTCTAGTATTATTCATGCCAATCCTCTAAAACGTATTGGAATCAGATGGGGAGGGAATGCTTAGGGATTCACCCCTCCACTTGAATCTCAAGCCAGTTCTGAATGGACACCACCTCCGAGAGCTTGGACTCTGACAACTGGCTCTACTCTAAGGGAGTAGATAGAGGCAGCTGGGAAGAGCCTGAGACTCAAACCCACATTCTATCATCAGGGAGAAGGATCAGGCAGACATTTCTCTAAGTCAGGAATCAAGTTTGTTCATTTTGTAGATTTGGCCTTTAGACATAATTGAAATTCAAAGTCCCCATGACATTTAACTAAAGTTTTCTAATTACTCTGCTTTTGTTCTCTGAGAAGGTAGGGTTGTCTCATTCCATCATATCTGAGGTGTACATTAGATACTGTATTAAGAGTTTATTTCAGCACCCTGAAGAATTATTCTTTGAGGTGCTCGATTGTTACTGGGAACCAGATTGTTACTGGGGACTGCATGCTCAGGTAATGATGGAAAAGTGGAAATTAAGGATATAAGTAAGTTTTAAGTTTTATTTTTTTCCCCATCACCTAAATCATAAACCTAATTCTGAAAAAAAAAAAAAAAAAAGTAGCTGATTTAGGTCATTATGAAAACACCTCAGATTAAACAGGAAATTTTCCTGGCTCTAAGAGATACTGATAACTTTTCAAAGCTAGGTAAATTTTCTCACTTAAACTAACAAGATATTCTTATTAGATTTAAAATTTGAGATTATAGCTCATGCTCTGTTGGTATAATATTTTATAAAAAACTCATTCTATAAAGTACAGTATTTTTAATTTTAACAGTTACAACAAATATTGCATTACATGAAGTCATTCTCACATTGTGGTTGAGAAAATTGCTCAGGGTTGCAAAGCTAGTTAAGTAGTAAGGCTGGGAGTTGAAACAGGGTCTTTCTTTCCCCTACTGTTCCTTGCTGCTTTTTCAGTAATAATTTATGGTAATTGGCTTGTATTGTATTCATTTCTAGGTGAAAGTCTATTTAGTATTCATAAAACATCCCATTTAAATTTTCT